CAAGTTTGAATTTTCTTGTATATTTATGAAAATATTTTTAAAATATGTAATAAAAATATTAGAGTAGAAATCTTAAACCAGTAACTTGGTATAAAGCTTCATCAGAATGTTTAGTTGTTAGCCACGTTTCAGTTTATGCAATAAAATAGTATTCTTATATTTTGATTCGCCAAGCCTAATCAAAAATTATTAATTGTTATATTAAATTTAAAGAAAATACCCATTTATTATAGTAATTTTATAATTCCAAACCATCAGACTTATGGGGATCACTATCAAATGATCGGAGAGGAACCGTGTTGAAAGAATGGGCTGCATCACATGACCTTGTAGTACTAAATACATTATCCACACCAACCTTCCAGAGAGGTAACGCCATGTCACACTTAGACATCACGCTCACATCAAGTAGAATAGCTAACACAGTAAGAGACTGGAGAGAGTCAGAGCAGGAAAGCCTATCTGACCACAATTACATCTTTTATCGGATAGAAAAACGCAATTCAAACAAACCTATAGGAGCAATTACAACACGGAGAGGCTGGAAGTTAGACAATGTCGGGTTGGAGCATTTCTCAAAAATACTAATCAGGAAGGTGGAGGAAATGGGAGAAAGGCACCTCACACCAGAAGACCTAACAAAACATGTCACTGACGCATGCAACGCAACTCTTCAGAAGAGGTCCAAACCTAGGGAAAATAGAAAAGCAGTATATTGGTGGTCACCAGAGATTGCTGCAATCAGGAAGGAGTGCCTAGCCATAAAAAGAACAGTAACTAGAGCGAATAGGAGAGCCGAAAATACGACAGACGAGAGAGAAGCCGTGCAAAATGCATATAAACAGAAAAGAAGTGATCTCAAAAATGCGATTAGAAGAGCGAAACGAGAGGCTTGGGAGCGTGTCACGCGGGAAGTTGAAAATGATGTGTGGGGCATGGGGTTTTAAATTGTAACGAAAGGACTGAAACTAAGAGCGCAGACCACAGTGTCTGAGGAAGTCATGATGCGGGAAGCAAATAAGCTCTTCCCCAAACACCAAAGAATAGTCTGGTCGGATATCGAAGTCCAGCGCGTTCCACTCTTGACTAGAGAAGAACTAGATGTCGCCGTAAAACAGCTTAAAACCAAGAAGGCACCTGGCCCAGACAACATCCCTCCCGAAATTGTGAAATGCGCAATAGGAAGTATACTGGAAAAATGTCTTGAGACCCTAAACTACCAATTACAGTTGGGTGAGTTTCCGAAAATCTGGAAAGTAGCTCGGCTAGTACTACTTGAAAAACCCCGCAAAACTGACCAATCGACCACTACATACCGACCATTGTGTCTGCTGAACTACTTCGGGAAAGTCTTCGAACATCTATTGAAGAGCAGACTCAACCAAGAGATAGAAGCAAAGGGAGGGATCGCCGACACCCAGTTTGGATTTTGCAAGGGCAGACCTACAGTGGCAGCAATGCTTAGAATACTAGACAATGCGAGGGCAGCTCAGGCCTTTGCACATGCCAACAGGAAATTCTACTTTCTAGTAACCCTAGATATAAAAAATGCCTTCAATTCCGCCGCCTGGAGACAGATCGACGAGGTGCTCACCCAAACAAAGGTTGCACCTTATATACGACTAGTACGAAGCTACTTGTCCGATAGGAAGCTGATCATTGGAGAGGAAAAATGCATGGAGGTTACCTGCGGGGTTCCGCAAGGATCGGTGATCGGGCCGCTACTGGGGAACATCTACTTTGACGGTGTCCTGAGGTTGGTGATGCCAGAGGGTGTGGGACTCCTAGCCTTCGCGGATGACCTTGCGGTGGTGGTTACAGGTGCAACGGAGACCATAGTGACAACCAAGGCTAATATTGCCATCAATAGGATAGCGGAGTGGAGCAGGCAGAAACGGCTAGAACTGGCACAAGAGAAAACAGAGGCAATACTGCTCACAGGCAGGAGGGCGGTTAGACATGTTGGGGTTGATGTTCTAAACATGGAAATCAGTACCAGGGAGACCATCATCTTATACAAACTTTATATACATATCTTGATGTTGTTTTTGACCGAGGGACTAGAATGACCAAACATGTCGAATATGTTACTAGAAAGGCGGAGAAGACCGTCACATTACTGTGTTGGTTAATGCCGAACAAAGGAGGACCTTCATCGGGCAAACGCAGGCTACTTGCAAATGTTGCTATTTATACGTTGCTTAACGCTGCACCGGTGTGGGGTGGAGCTATGCGCTATCGCAAATATAGGGACATGTGTCAACATGTATTGAGAAGAATGGCTATCAGGGTGTGCTGTGCTTTCTGTACTGTGTCTACTGAGGCTGTACTGGTTATTGCAGGAATAGCTCCAATCGAACTTCAAGTGGAGGAAAGGATCATGGGAATAGGAGCAGATAAATGCGCAAAAACTGAGACCAGACAAAAAACGCTAAACAGTTGGCAAAATAGGTGGGCGGCCATGCGTGAAGTGGCTCAGTGGACTAAACGCCTCACACCAAACCTAATACTGTAGATGGACAGAAAACATAGGGAGGTTAACTACCACCTCGGTCAGCTACTGACTGGACATGGTTGCTTTCAGGCCTACTTCTGTAGATTTAACCTGGAAGATACACCGGAATGCCTCTACTGTGGGGATTTTGATGACGGAGAGCACACATTTTTTCAGTGCTTCCGATGGCAGGAACTACGCACTACCACGGAAGTGCAAATAGGAGAAAAGATTACCCCTGATAGTCTCCTCAGGCTCATGTTGGCAAGCGAAGAGCACTGGAAACTTATCTCCGACATGGCGAAAAAAGTAATCTCACAAAAAGAGAAGAACAGACTGGAGAGCAGGCAACGCAGCTAGGGCAACAGCCATAGAGTGAGAAGTAATACCTACCGGTGGTTCCTCACTCAACTGGCAGAAACGAAACTAGAGGCGGTTTTTTAGTGGGTAAAAATCCAACACTACCAGCCGTCAGACATCAGGCAGGTGTCTTTCGAAGATTTTTCCCCTCTCAAAAAAAAATAATTCCAAACCAGTAGATAACAATACAAAACTAAGAAGAACATTGATATAAGACTAAATCCACCCCAAGAAAGAGAAATAACAATTTTTCGTTAGTAGATTAACTCGTTTGGCGTCTAAATATATTCTATAGATACATTTCTTATGTTATATAAGTGTAAAAGAGAACAAAACCAAAACGAAAATCACGATGTCATTCTTTTAAATCGGCTCTCACGAAAACGTGCACTTAGTGTTTCACTTGAGAGATGTTCTTAGGACTTACGGTCTGTATCTATGTGTTTAAAACATTGCATCGCATGCCTTTTTTGCATCTTTTATTTGCCCATTTATATATTCACATAAATAAAGTCGTCGAGGACTAGTGAATAGTCAAACGAACTAAAAGGAATTTGTAACGGAGACCTGTAGTTTACTTGATTAAGTATTATTTTTATTTGGTTTTTTGGTTTTCAAATCAATAAAATATGAACTCTGAGAAGGAGTACCGTTAATTTTATTTGGTGTCATAAAAATAGTCTATAATAAAACGATGAAAAAATAAAAGTAGTTTATTCACAAATGACTGCTAATTGTTAAATTTGCATCGTGATCGATAAAGTCCATATATCCCTGGGTATCTACAGGGTTGTTCACCACATATATACGACACGGAGTATTGTAGCTAAACGATTAGATTTTTACAAATTGTAAATTTTGGGTTCGTTGAAGGACTATTAGAGCTACAATTTAAAAATATTTAAGATACAGAGTGTCCCAAATAAATAAAAAATATCAAAGTTGTATTTTTATAAATGGAACACCCTGTATATTATTACATTTTTAGTTTCTACGATTAAAATAAAGGTAAATTTTATTAAGGTTTACCGCACTTTAATCTCACCGTTTTTAAAATATTTTCAAGGCTTCATTTCTCCAAAGGTATCAAAGTTTTTAATACTAAATATTTACTGAAGTTTATTTTTTGATTAGTTATTGTGTTGCAATAATAAAAATTATACTACCTTATACAGAGTATCTATTTTATTTTAAATAATTACTAGATTTAAACGGCAATAACTTGATTAATTTAAATGGAACACCCTGTATATTTTATGAGGATAAGATGCACAATTTAATTGTCTATTAAACTGTATTATACCATTTTTTACCTATCTCTTCAAGTTTCCATAGAAAAAGCATTTTCTTGTAATTTAAAACTCATTTATCAATATACCGTGTTGCGTTGATTAATAATAATTGCTCCAAATACTAAAAAACTGAATTTTGTATGTGTATTAGGCAATGTGGTAAAAAGTAACACCTTAAAAATGATATTTCATTTTTTGACAAGAGCTTTTATTTATAACAACAGAGACATTCATTTTCATAACTTATTATTATATTGATTTCTGATTCAAATCCCCATTTATTTAGAATAATTTATTAACAAACATAATTAAGTATGTAATTAATTAGTATTTGGGCGGAAATAATGGTGGTATATTTAATTATAATGGTATACTCTTTTATATAGATTTAAATAGTTCTCTTTTTGCATACAAATGGGCTAGTAATATTATCATTTTGCTAAAAACGATAATATTACTAGCTTGTACATTTGTCGCTTTAAAAATAATCTAAAATGTCAATATTCCATACAGATTTCGTCCAACATGTATGAATACCTGGATAGTAATATATTCACTTTAATATTTTTATTCAAATTTGCAGATTTAAATTAGGACATCTGAATTAATATCTTTTTATCCCGAATTAATAATAATAAAAGTACCATCAACGGCCAAAACAAGAATCTGATTGCTGTTTGTTATTTTAGTTTTTAAGGTTGAGTTGCTACTATAGTTTCATTAATACAAAAATTCATGCTATGTGCCTGACAAAAGGGGTCGCTTGGTATTACAAGAGATTTTAGTTTGTTAATTACCAACATATTTGCTTTATTCCAGACAAATTGATTACAAATGTGTTTCTTTTATTCCAGGTGGCCTTAGTACAACGGCAATGGTAAAAATCCAAGTGACTGATGTCAACGACAACCGTCCCATCTTCTACCCACCCGAATACAACGTCTCGTTACGAGACGGAGGCGCATCATCTTCCGCCACCACTCCCGTGGTTGTGGTTTCCGCCACTGATGCCGATTCCGGGAAATTTGGCACCGTAACCTACAGGATAGCTGCTGGCAACGAGAACGGCTTGTTTCGTATCGACAGGAACACTGGAGAAATATTTGTGAATCGGCCTCATCAGCTATCGACTCGAAACCAGCCTTACCATCGGTTGAATATCAGCGCTAGCGACGGTGGCAACTTGAAGTCGCTGAAAGATGCTGAGGTTTTTATCAGTGTCATAGATTCGAAGCAAAGACCTCCAATTTTCGATCCGTCCAGATACAAATTTTCGGTGATGGAAAACGTGAAGAAGCACCATGTTGTAGGAAAAGTTAAGGCTGCAGTCATTGATAACGGTAAGTTGACTTATTATATAGGGTGTCCCAGGCTGAGCGTGCATTAGAAGTTTCTAGAGAACCACAATATCTAGATCGGAGATTTTTTGCATCGATTAAAACCGGATGAAATACCGGAAGTTGACAGCAACTTTCTTATTTTAAATGGGTGTCCCCATTTTTTATTATATACTTAAATTCTCCCTAAAATTCTATGAATATTGACGTTAAACACTCTATATCTAATATTAACCGCTTTTGAGAAAAAAAAATATTTAAAATTTTTGAACGAAAAAAGCTACCTGTCAAAAAAATTTGTATAGCCTAAAAATCAAATTTAGTGATTACCCCAGCCACTGTGCCATAAAGAGAAGACATGTGGTTATCTATTTCAAAAAATGAATTGTTCAAATGTCATATAATTGAGCGTTTAAAAAATTATCATAAATGATTTTTTTTCAAATGGAAACACACTTTTTTATTTCACTAATGAAAAGGTTTTTTAATTCGTTACTTTTTAACTATAGGTGTTCCTATACCTAAAATAAATCGTTTTTAAGTTATTTAAGATTTAATTTGAAAACGTGTATTTTTCTTCATTTTATCTAGCTTCCTTTGACATTGAGTGTCAAACGGTCAGACAATTCATTTCCCTCTGTCAGAAAACGAATTATTTGAATTTCCTATATTATAAATACTGCCTGCCCCCCTGAAGAGCTTAAAAAGTATATTTATAAAAAAAATCTATCTCGTATTTTCGCTCTTTAGTGATATCTAATAGTGGATATTATTAATAATATTCCGTATTATCGATAAAAAAACAGCGCAAAGTTGGCTCGGAAATGATGCTGCTTTTTGAACAAAGCGTCACAATATGATATGGCCAGATCTATTGTTTTACATCACTTGATGTTTAAAGTCATAAGCTACTGGTTAAAATCAAGAAAAATATACGTTTTCAAACTAAATTTTAAATAACTTAAAAACGATTTATTTTAGGTATAGGAACATGTATACTCAAGAAGTAACGAATTGGAAAACCTTTTCAATAGCGAAATAAAAAAAGTGGATCTCTATTTGAAAAACAATGATTTATGATAATTTTTTAATCGATTAATTCTATGACAGCTGTGTAGAAACGTCTAATGCACGCTCAGCCTGGGACACCCTGTATAAATAACAATCTATCAAATTTATTATAACCTTTAATTTTCAATCAAAATTTGTCCCAGTGTTTTAATCTTTTCTTCAGATTTCTATTTAATATCCATTCCAGCGTATTTTTGGGCAATTTGATCATTATTTGCTTCCCTGGTTGTCTTGCAGAATTCTTTTTTAGCTCGAGGTTGGTTGTACTTTTAGACTTACCTCTGCAACTCAATCCATGGCTATCAATACGATGAATGAAAGTTTTTATTCTGTAGACTGTTTTCTCAGTGTTGTAAACGGATAATATATTTTAAGCCATTATTTAAATGTCAAAAATAATTAACCATGAAATCTTTTTAAATATAATTATTATACCGTATATATCTCTTTTAAAACAGTATATACATATAACATATATAATATGTATATACTGTTTTAAAAGAGATAGTATTCCATCCAAAGAAGAGACAATATTAAACTATTACAATATTTGACTATAATGATTACATATGGTTCACAATCCCAAGGTATATAAAAGACGGTTGAAGGGTAGTGATTACCTTCCTAGTATACTGACTGGGCCCAAGGAGTGTAAACGCTATTATACGGCATTCACATCATTATGATATTCAGTTATAGTCTGATTTTAGAAATTTTAGAGATATTTGGATGTACATTTCATGTACTTGTTTAATTATGATGGCCTGATCTTGGTACACAAACTTCCAGAAAGAGCTGGTAATTTTATACCAAAAAAAAAAATTTGAACTCATGATGCTAAGGTGTAAGCTGTTTATTCTACACTAACGGATTACCATTTTGAAAATATACAAATTCTATAAATTGATTTTGTCGTAACTTTTCTTATTGGATATACCTAATTTAGGAGCAAATACAATGCTTCGATAACGACACTATATTAGATATTTCCAAAAAAATCAAAAAAAAATTGTGAATCCGCCACATAGGTATAGACATTTTTTATATTAGATATGTCTAAACTTCTATAAACAATATAACAATCACGATTTATATGTTTTGTTTATATATTATTATCTTTTAACATTGCATTAATCAATTTAGGGTAGAATGATTGGTTTGGTTGCAAAATTCAACCAACTAACCGTCCTAGACCAACATATTATATTTAAGATTCTGGACTAAGTTTTCCTACCCTGTTAACATCATCATCAGGTGGTAAATCTTCAGTTTTAATCACTATTATATATTTTTTTATAAGATTTGCTGGTACCTTCTGCTGATAACAATTAAGTGAATACACGTCCAGTGTTTAATATAAATTGTCTTGATGTATTCTGCTAATTTTTTGTGTATTTTAATAAACGCCGTATTTTGGGGAAAAGACATGAATCATATTTATCGAATGTTATAGTTTAAATATTTTGTACCAGAATCTTGTCTTCAAAATGAGCGGGTCTGGTCTTGGTCTTGCACAAAATTCAAGACCAAAGCTAGCATTTGATCTGCAAAACTAATACCGATCGGTGCAGGATTTCTAGGATACCAAGACCAAGCATGCAAGAGTCTTGTGGTTTTGCAGTGTAGTATTTTTTTTTCATGATATAAGTTTATATGATATAAGAAATTACTTATATGTTCATAATTATTGTTTTAATTTATTACAAATAATGTTTTAAAGAAACGTTGATAATTTTTTTTAGATAATGGTTGTAAGATAATAATTTCTTTCTTTAAAGTTGTATTTGCATCACATTACTAAAAATACTATTTATTTAAATATCTTCTATGTGGAAAGTGCCTGTAGTAAGAACCCATTTAAAAAATGCAAGAGTCTTCCAATAAAACCGAGACCAAGACTGAACCCTCCAAGACCAAAACCAAGATTACTAATTAACTACAAGAACAAGACTAAGGGACTCTTGGTCATGGTCTTGGCATTTGCTCATCACTACTCCCAAAGTTGACGCTTACGTATTTCCTTTTTTAAATTGATAAATATACATTTGTCCTTTAAAAATTCATCGTGTGAAATGGTTCTCATATTGGATAATCCGGTAGGATTAATAAAATACGTATTTTAGATATTACGAACAGGTAAGGTAGTCTTAACAAATGTAAAAGTTCACACATTATGTGCCAGAAACAGCGTGAAACCCTTGGTAAGCCCCTTTATCTGCTTACAACCTTTGTCGTTCCACCACATTATTAATATCGCCTTTTTGTCTCCGTCTCTCCGTAGGAGACAAATTTCTTCGACCAGTCCTGTTTTTTCTCTCTTTTTTCTCGAACATTTTCGATGCAAAATCCTTAGCAGATCCACTTCGAAGAATGCACCCGTTCAATGAGACTTTATGAAATAAATTTTTAATAAGTCAACCTAATTGCTTCTTAGGGGTATTTCGGCTTTTTCAGAAATTTCTTTGAGTAGATATTAATAGCTAATTAACTACCCGGTTTTAAAGTAAAGGTCGTAATCGAGCGGATGATTTAGTGCCTTAATCCATACGTTAGTAGGTAGCGCTATGGACGAAATTAAATTCTGTATAATGTGGTTGGGCGCTTTCGTGGTGTTGACCGTCTCTTAGAGTAGATTAAAGTAAATTATTACGAGGCAGGCAAGGCGTTCGGGAGCTTTAAACAATAACCGACTTGGTTTGAATAAAAAATAAAAAATCAATGTCCCGTATTAAGTTGAGACTGGAAATTTATATGTTAATGAACTGCTATGTCAGTATTGTCAGTAGATGTTATCTAAGTACACTGGCGGTTGATACTTGATTCATACAGGTTGATTCGTGAGGAAATGTCAATAAATCAGCCTAAAAATAAACACAAAAGTAAATATTATAATTCAAATATCCCGAAAACAGTTTCTCGTATAAACTTTATACTTTTTGCAGCCTTTTTGACATAATAATTAAAAAGAAATTATTTATATTACTCAAAAAATAGTATAGGGTGCCAAAGAGATGTGATTGTGTGTTGATGTTATTGTGTTGTACCATATTATACTTTTGTTTTTTTATCTTCCATTATTAAAATATAGCGAAACTACCAATACGCGTAACATTCAAAATGACGAAAAAGAAATGACCATGAAATGGCAAGGCAGAGACCACTGTTAAAGAACATAATTACATGCTATGAGTCCCGTATTCTCATTGGTCAAAGTAACTGGCAACAATTCATATCGTGAAGCTCTCTCATTTATGTTCAAGAATACCTAATAGAAGTGAAAATAGAACAGCAGTAGAATAGAACGATAAAATACTCTCCAGTGAGTGCTCTATTGTGGTTCTCTTATGCTCAAAAATCGGCACCCTGAAGTATTGACATTTCCTCATATCTCACCCTACATATTATGGAACGTTTTTAAAAAATTTATTAACAAAATACTGATATATTATTTTAAGATATCGGTTATCAGTTACATGGTTCAATATGAAATATGTGAAAATTTGTGAATCAGTATTGCGTCTATGCGAACAATTGCATCGTAAACTGGAGACCCTGGGAGAATAGAAGAAGTAGAGTCGATAGACAACAACCTCAGATGACATGGGCGGACGATTTGAGGAAACATGCTGGCACGAGATGGATGAGCACGGCGACAGAGAGAGAATAGTGGAAGAGATTAGAGGAGGTCCAACGATGGACCGAAGAAGGCTGAATAGATAGATAGATAGAGATTGCGTCTATGTGACAATTTCCATAAATGTCCAATAATAAGGAACAACTGACAATTTTGATTTATATATTTTTGAACGTCCCGTATATAAATATACTTTCGAAGGATTTAAGTTTTGGATTTCCTAGTTTTATTTGCTTCAAACGTTCCTAAAATTGGTGGAATGGTTTATGTCCGGTTATTTTGTATATGGACATATACC